GATTTTGTACCACCACCGTTACAAAATTCAAAAAAATTTTAAAAGAATTTTTTTAGTTATGCTCAACACTATGTTATATAAGTTTTTTTTTATTTGATGGCTTTAAAAACTTTTCAAGCAATTTTGTCGCGGCTTCCTCTCCATTAGTAAGGCTAGTAAGGCCATTTTCAGAGATTCTTTTTTCCTCCTTTCTTTTCACACGAATCTCCATTAATTTTTCTTTGGTAAGTAAAGTTCCGAGGGTTTTGGGTCCTGAGAGTTGCAGTCTGGCCTCTTGTAGATCTAAAGACATATTAGGATGAATTTTGAGGTCGTATTTATTAAACATTCCCTCAAGATGTTGTTGATGGACAATTATAGGCCAAATTCTATATTTAACAAACTCATATACTAATAAATAATTAGGTAATTCGACATGGGTGTTTTGTGAAAAGGTTAGAAATTGCTCTTGAAATTCATTATCCTCTAATGCTTGAAACAATCCAAAGGAATCCCCTTTTCCAACATTCAGATCATTTATTAATCCATCTATATATTTTTTTTGTATACTTGTAGGTTCATGTAAAAGTGGAATATTTAATATAACTTTAACAATGGCAACTGCAAAATCAGGACCATGAATTCCTCCAAGTCGGCATATAGAAAGAGGTAAATGCATCCATGGATCCATCCATCGTTTGAATGCTTTTAATGCCTTTATTAATCCGCTTTTGATTCTAATTTCTAAATTATAGAATTCATCTTCAGAGAGGATTTCATAAGCCAATAGCAATTCTTCTACAAAAACTTCACTTGGATTTTCAATAGCAATTTGAAATTCATCAATCCATTGTTCAACTTTATCTGGCATTTCACTTGCTCTGAACCCATTTGGAAGAGGATAAGTACTATTATTTTTACTAATTAAGAAAAACATTATTTTTTCATAAAAATATTCACCAAATTGAACCATAACTTGAATTTCTATATTTAGTTTATCATTTTGTAAAAAATCATGAAATGTTTTCCATTTTTTTAGATATCCTTCTGGAACATTACTAGCATCCGTTAAATGATGAACAAACCATTTAGAAAATTGAAGGTGAGAATCTCTATTATTTAAATATTGTCTTGCTGTAGTTAATTGATATAACCAGCGACTAGAAATAGGTTTTTGATATCTTTTAAGATTGTAATTCATTAATGTCATATATAATTCATTAATTGTTTTTGTTTTCATATTTAATGGATTATCTTTATTAGACTCATTATATCCACAATGAAGATGATATGCTAAATTAAGTACATTAAATGGATGCGGATGTAAAGAAAGTCCAGAAGGAGAATTAATCTTTCCAAAAGTTATATTGTCAAAAGTTACTGAAGCTATATGTAATACATGCAATCCACAAGGAATTCGAGTAGCTTTTGCAGAATATAACTTATTGAATTCAACTACAGCTCCGCCTTTTGATCCAGACATATAAGCTGTATTATCAGTAAGCCAATATTGGCATTTAGCTGGATTTAATGAATGCATGTTAATAGTTTCTCCAACACTAGAAGATACTATAGATGCTGAACAACGATCTAAATCTTTCATGCTAAGTATAGTAAGCATAGGTTGTTGTTTTTTATCACTCCAGTAAGATATACATATTAAAAATATTTTTTTTTCTCCTCTTGTACTTTCATCTGCCATAATACCATATGAATCAAATTTATTAGTAAATTCAGGCAAATTTTCTTGTATTGAGATTTGGGCTACCTCTGTATTCCATCGAGATAAATTACTAGAGGATAACCATGATTCAGGAGAATCACCAGTAAGGAAGGTTACCATTTCTTTTGTACATTTTACTGTAGAAGCTAATGACATCTGGCCTACATTACTTAAATCTGTAGCTAAAGAAACAAATTCAGGAGTATAGGTTTTTTTATTTTTAATCTTTTTGATTATTGTATTTTTTATATCTTTATTTGAAATATTTCTTTTTTTTCTGACAGTTGATCGAATTCGGGAAATATGAACAGCTTTAAATCTTTGAGCATATTTAAGTTTAGCTGTAAGAGATTTTACTTTAAAGGTCAGATTATGTATTTTTCGTTTTAATAATCGAATTTTTTGATCTTTTTCATGAGGATTAATGTTGGGTTTTCCTCGATTTGCAAGTATCCATTCCATGGCTTTTTTTTGCAGGTAAGGAGATAAGATTTCATCTTTATGTGATCCATCTTTATATATCATATTAATTAATAATTTGGAATATGATATTAGTTCTTTTTCAGGTAAATTATTGATTTTATCAATTAAATCTTTTTTTATTCTTTCAGCTTTAGAATTAAGTTGAGGTGTCGGTTGTATATTAGGAATAGAAATATTTAACAAATTAGGATTTATATTGATTGGAATTATAGCAGAATTAGTATCAAGTGGTGTTGTAATAGAATTAATAATAGAATTATTATCAATTGGAATTAATGGTTTACGAGGTTTAGATAATTTAGCAAGACGTGCTTTTTTACAAGATTTAATAACTTTATTTGAACGAGGCATTTTGATATAAATTTTATAAAAAATTATAATCTAATTAGGATTTGTTTATTTTTTATAAATGTAAATATTTATTTTTAATATATAAATAAAAAAAAAATAATCTAAAATACAATAAAAAAAAATTTAAATAACATTTTTTAATTTTTTTAACATATAATAATTGTAATAAAGAAATGTTGCGTGCTATTAGATTAATACTATTAAATTACAAATAAAAAAAATATATTTAATTATAATTTCATTATAAAAAAAAATTACCTTTTGATTTATTTTAACCGCTAAAACTTTTGAAATATCCTTTTATTTATGAAAATATTGTGATATTTTTACTGAAATCTGTCTATAGAACATCATTTTAGAGAGAATATGTCGATTTAATATGTTTTTTGTGAAAGTTGTAAAGAGCTATAAATATTACAATAAAAGTGAACTTTTTATCATATTTCAAATTAAATTTTTGTAAAATTGGCCTTTTTATCACTTTTATAACTCTCTGTATCCCTAAACTACATATTATTTAATACGTTTTTACAAAATTTGGTGTCTGCGTTGTTTAAATTGAGAGAGGAGTAGCATTTTGAAAACTGTGTATTTTACTATAAAATTTTGAAGGTCTATCGATCATTAAAAAATCTGTACTAATTGATTTTAATATATGATCTA